AAACTGTGTTTTTAGTCTAATAGTAATATAATTTGTATTTGAGCACCGACAAGACTGTCAAAGAATTAAAAAAAAATCAGATTTACATATAACTAATGAATTTGAAATTTTGCATTATATTTGTAAGATAGAATCAATCATACAAAAATTAGTTCTACATGTGACAAATGAACTTGAAATTTGTATAAAATATAATTAATCATACAAAAATTGGTTCTACATATGACCAATAGATGAAAGTTTGTATTATATTTGTAAAATAGAATCAATAGACCTGTGGGTCAATAGCATAGTGGTTAGTGCACCTAGGTTCTAATACACAAGATCATAAGTTCGAAACCCATGGGGGGAATTGTTCTCTGCTAAGACTATGTTTGGTAATAAGTTGTTAGACATAGTCACAGAATGGCTATGTGACATCCAGAAAAGAAAAAAAATCTGACATATAGAAAGTTATTAATATAAGAATCCTCCAATTTGAATATTTAATAGGAACCTAAATTTGAAAACCAAAACCAGTCGTAGGTGTAGGTTTGCAGGTCAAAACTGGTAACACAGAGACGAAATCAGGAATGTAGATATGCAAACATTGAATAAAGAAAAGACAAGTCTAATTATAGAAATTGGGAGTATAATAGTTATAATAAGAAAGGTGAATGATAAGGCCATAATAGGTGAAGAACTGCAGACTTCAAAGTTAGGAGTTCTGCACTGCAGGATTAGAAACCCAAGATACTTTAGATAAACTTACCAAATATGTAGCAATATAAAGGCTGAGAAACACCACTATAAGTAGTGATATATGCTTAACTGCAGTCTGTTGGCGATCATGATATTAAAAAATTAAAAAATAAAAAATAAAAATAGAATCAATTGTATAAAAATCAAGTTCTATATATGACTAATGAACTTAAAATTTTGTATAAAATATAATCAATTATACAAAAATCGAGTTCTTTATAAGGGAGACATACCTAATTTGACACACCTAATTTTGCTCAATAGTAAACCTTTACAAATTTATATAAAAACCTATAAGTTTTTACTAAAATTGACATATTTCAGTTTGAAGTAAATTTTAATATAAAAAAATTTTTTTTTAAATAAGAAAAAAATTAAATTTTATTTTAGTAATGTGAGCTTTTTCAAAATCGAGATTATCGAAAAATCACTCTAATTTGACACACTATATAAAATAAGTGATTTTTTTTATATTTTATCTTTTTCAAGCCGGTTCTTATTCTTAATATACCATTTTTCTGCTATAGTACATTCCAAGTCCTCCTTTTTTTTCCTCTGTGCCTCCTGCTTTTGCGTCTTTTTGGCCTCATGTACTGCTCATTTTTGGGTAGCTTCTTCTTTTTTACGCTGTTTTTTGTCAACTACTTTCTTTGCCTCTTCTTCTGCTTCTCTTAGTTGTTTTAACGATTCTTCATTTATTAAAAGGTGGGAAAAGGGCATTGTTTTTCTTTTTTTTCTTTTTGGAGGTAGAGATCCAGATTCCTCCTTATCAATCTCTGGATTTTCAAGTTGTGAATTTTGACACAGAGGATACTTAAATATCAATCGCAAAGAACTTGTACCAGGGTTTTTAACAACTTCAAGCTCTTCTTCTAGTTGTTCAACTCTTTCATTTAATGAGTTGATCTCTAACATTAGTTCTTTTTTAGTAGGGTTAGCTTTAGTGAGTCGTCTATGACTTGGAGTTGGCTTTGAAGTTTGTGAAAATGAAAATTGCGAAGAAGACGATGATGACAATGACGGTGGATCAAGAATTTGTTGGAGGTTAGTACATTCTGTTGCTAATGAAGGATCTAGATGGTCAAGGCTGATTGCACTAGAATTAAAGGGCCAGATTCCTGTAGCCTTAAAGGCATTGTATATAGAAGCAGGTGTGTAGGTTGCAATATAAGAGTGCCCTAGAACTTTAGCAAACGTGTACTTCATTATGAGCTTACCATCATTACTAACCCGAAATTTTTCACATTCTTTATCATATGCATTTTTTAGTGCAGCAAATAGTAGCTTAGCTGGCTGTAAAACATGAGTGGTATGAGAAGAGAGGGTGTAAAGGAGAATATTATTCTCATGACAATAGTTAACACTAATGTAATTGATATGACTTTTATAACCATCTAGAATCAACAAGACAGGATATATTGGCAGGATAGATTTAACAAAATATTCGATATATTTTTGAAATAGGCTTTTCTGCATGTATTCTGTCTCAGTAAACCCCATGACAGAACTAGCAAGAGAGCCATTTAGAAGATCTGAGATTGTTTATTTTCTTTTAAAGATGAGCAATGGTGAGACATACATCCTGGCAGCTGATATAGTTGGGCATAATGAAATATGCTCATGAGAACTGCTATGTGAAACTTTATGAATCTGGCGTGCTTCTTTTTTTGCTATAACCTTTTGAACTCTAGATTTAATGACAAATCCCATTTCATCCTAGGCAAAAAAAAATCAAAAAAAAAAAAAAAAAAAAAAACAGACCATGTTTCAAATTCTGTCTGTGGTAAGTGAGTATTCATAGATGATTCTTTCAAGTTTGTTGAAATAATCTTTAACAGTTATAGGGTTTGCCTTTTGTGCACGAGCTTCATTTAGGGCTTGCAGAATACAAAACGAAAGCTCTAGGTGGTCTTTTATAAAACGTTGCCACCATTTTTGCCCCAGTTCATTTTCATTAAAAGGGTAAGGTTTTTTGATTTGACGAACGATATCCATTACACACTGGCTTACTTCAGTTCTTGTCAACCCAAAACCAAGCTTCTGCATATTTAGACAATAACCAACCAGTTGTTTTTCTTCATGGTTGGTTAGAACTTTAACGCAGCCTGGGCAAGTAAGAGAACCATTATTTTTAATGGCACGTCTAAGCGTAGCTTCTGAAAGACTATATTCTTTTGCTATGTTTCTAATACTTGGAGTTTTAGAATCTTTTGGAGAGTTTTTAATTGCCTTAAGGGCATTATTAATAGCATTTTGCTAGGTATTGTAATTACTATACTTTGTTATTGAAAAATTCTATATTTAATAAACTATTCTTTTTCTTTACAAGATAAAAATTTATTTATTTAAAATTATCAAGTGCAATATTTTTATTATATTTGTGGTGTTATGAACAAATTTATAAATATTATGCGATCAAAAACTATTTTAAAATTAGTTTTAAACTTACATTTTTTTTTTGCATACACAGATCATGCAATTGGCAGTTTTTATGAATTGCATTTTTCTTTTTTTATTATTAATATTAACTTTTACACATGTAGGATAAATTAGTGTGCTCGAAAATTGGTTATTAGACACTGTAATGGCAAACTTTTGTAGTGGTTACCCAAATTGGAAACCATAACAGCTGTTCAAATATGCTTTTTTGTGAATGCATCAAATTAAACGTTTACTAAAAAAAATAAAAATAAAAAATAAAAAAAAATAAAAAAATAAAGAGCAATTAATAATTTTTAATAGAAATTGATTTACTTGCCGGTTATTAGTATGAAGAGCCGATTTCAGTATGTCATGGTGACTTCTTGCTGCAGCTCTAGCTGCGAAAATTAATGTAGATCAGGATATCTCATGTTTTAGTGATTAGAATCATGTGATTCTGGTACCAATCGACTCGTCTCATCGAGACAAGTCAAATGGTATCGAAAGCATGTAATTTCAATCACTAGAATATGAGATATCAACAATGCGTCAAATTAGACACTGCACCAAATTAGGTATGCCTCCTTTATAACCAACAAAATTGAACCCAAATTGGATTCAACTGAAATTTTGCATTATGTAAATTATAATTAATTATACAAAAATCGAGTTCTGTATATGATAATCATCTCTAACAATATACTAACAAAATGACAAATTACTCAAATTAGAAATATAGATAAGAATATTTAATATCGAAATCAATCAAACAAAAATTACAATAATTAATCTTCTCAAAAAGCAAATTCTGTATATAATAATTATCTTAACAATATGTTTACAAATTTCATAATTTATTTAATGAATTAAAAATATATAAAAGAAGCTAAATTTGGAATTATATATAAATTTAACTAACAATTTTCTGATTAGTTATTTTTTTATTTTTAGAGTATTATATTTTCAAAAACTAATTTTTTTAAAATAAAATATTTTATTATTTTGTTAATTTGATATTAGATAAAATTACAATATATAAATAAAAGCCAAGATAATTACTAAAAAAAGTACTAAAAGCTAGTTTTTCTAGTCTCATTCTCTCATTTTTAGAAAACAAATTTTAATATTGGTTTTTAGCATAGCAAATTCTCTCTTTTTTTTTTTTTTTAAAAAAAAAATCTGCATTTAAGCGTACTTTATTAAAATGCTATAATATATCTAGTTATCAAAGTTAATAAATTTTACAATTTTTTTAAAGATAAAGTAATCTTTTTTTTTTTAGTATATGTAATTCTTTTTGAAGTCTTTTGTTAACTATACTACTAATAATGCTTTCTAGAACCATGTTACCACCCCACCTAGCTTGTATATACCAAAGCCAGATTTCATAAACTATATATATATATATCTATATAGCTGTCTCACATTTCTTTTGATCTTGTATATTTGTAGCTAGAAAAACTTCTCTAAGAGAGTTTGGTTGTGAGTCTTCTGCCTAGGTTTTGAGTAGCTTGTAATCTTGTTCCCAGATTATTTTGCTAATTCTGCATTTGAGTGCAAAATGCTCTATAGTTTGAGTCATATATAAACATTCTGGGCAGTCTGAGTCTATGTTTTGTGAAATGCAGTCAAGTCTGTAGCCTAGTGGTAATACCTTATACAACAACTGCTAGAAAATATATTTCTTCATGTTCTGGATACATTTAATCTTCTTCAAAATTGCAAGTTCTTGACTTTGATCTTCTGGGCCTAGTATTAGAGTAGATGCTATTGTTAGCTCCTTGCATAAAGTTTTTGTATAGCTCTTAACTGAGTAGTCATTGGCTGTAAGATTTCCAATTACCAGGTTTTCTGCAGACCAAAGCCAATTGTTCAATGCTATTATTTGACTCTTAACTCTTATCTATGCTTTCAAGCATGGCTTCTATTTGTCTAGTCATCCTTTTAGCTTTATGTTATTAATTTATAGCACTTCATTTACTGTCTTTTTTCTTATATTTTTAATTGTTTTGTTGACAATTTTTCTTTCTGATTTGGCCCAGAAGTGATTGCTTGATAAAAGTTTTATCTATATTGATACAAGTTTTGTATCTAACATGTTTTTTAAAATAAGACCTTCTAGCCCTCTTTAATTACTGCTAAGCTAGAATGTTAAATATTAGGATAACATCCTGGATTTTTTTTTAATCCAGTTAAAGATAATTGTATTGATCTCATTGAGCTGTTTTCTACTTGGTGATAATAGATAGGCCATGTACTACATATTGGAAATTATAAGTAATTTGGTAACCAAAATCTTTCCTTTAAAAGATAGATAATGTGTTGCAAGATAGTCTATACTTTTTTTAATTTTCTTTTTTAAGTTTTGCCAGATATCTTTGGATAGGTTACTAGTGATATCTGTTTCGAATCCAAGAAATTTTAGTAGCTTATTTGTATCATGTAGTTGTAGAAGTTCGGCCCTACTAACTGGATTTTTTGAGCATTCTCTGTAAATGGCACTAGTATGGTTTTTAGTTTGTTAATTTTTATATTAGATGCTTTTTCATATTTGTTTATAATGTTTGTCAAGTTATCCTAGTCTGTTAATGAGCTAATTCTAACTATTAAGCATCTGCATAAGCTGCTAGCTTAAAGGCTCAACTAGTGATATGTATTTCTTTTAGATTGTGTTGCAATGCTATAAGAAGTGGGTTGAACACTATGATATATAATAGTGGGGAAAGTAAATCTCTTTGCCTTATACCATATTTAATCTTGAATAGCTCTGATATTCTACTGTTTGCCAAGATATAGGCATGTTGGGTTGAGAACAGCATATTGATTATGTTAATAAATTTACCACTAAAGTTCATTTTATTTAAAACTAATTTAAGATATGAATAATTAACCCTATTAAAAGCTTTTGCTAGTCTAGTAGCAATAGCCAATATTGCCTTAATTGGTCAATTTGGTTTCTCAAAATAGTCAAAATGTCTAATACAATATCTGTTATAAATCTTCCTCTTATAAATGCTTGTTGTGCTAGGCCGATAGTATATTTGCAAATAGGATTAATGCAAATAGCTAATACCTTTATAAAAATTTTTGTATCACTATTTATGAGTGATATGAGCCTCCAATTACTAATATCTTTGAGATTGTCTAACTTCTTAGATATTAAGTTAATTATACTTTTATTCTAGGAGTTTGGCATATTTTCTAATTCTAGCACATAGTTGAAAAGTTTTGTTATAAAAAGAAGAAGTTCTTCCTTCATATCCTTATAAAATTCATATATAAAACCATCAGAACCTGGTGTCTTGTTGCTAGATAATGCATCTATTATATCACCTATTTCTTCTTTACTTATTCATTTTGTTAGTTGTTTGTTTTGTTCTTTAAAGACACTTGTAAGATTTTGTATTAACTCTTCTGCCACTTCAAGGTTAAAAGTTTCTGTTTTGTATATACTTTGGTAAGTGTTTTTAATATAGGCAAGGATTTCAACTGAATATTTGAACTTGTAAAAAGAGAAGAAATATCTTGTAGATTTTTTCCCTTCTTTGATCTATTTAGCATTTGATCTCACTTACTATTTTTCAGAGAGATATTAGTTCATCTTGTATTTGCACCTTTGTATGCTCTGCCAAAAGACTGAAGTTAGTTTGTTCTGGGGTTTTTGCCAGTTTGTTATTAAGATCATTTAGTTTTTTATATAGTCTTTGTATTTTTTTCTCTGATAGTAAGTCAGGTTTAAAGGCTCTAATTATTAATTGTATTATACACTTATGTAGATCCTATTTCTCAACATTATGAATATTCTTAATTTCTTTAATTAACTCATTTCTAAGTTCTATTACAGCCCAAAATTTTCTGTCAAATTTTCAGTATGCTGTTAGTCTGTGTTTATTTGAATTACAGAATCAGGTTTGAGTTTCAAAACTCAGATAGCTGTAATTGGTATTCACAAAAATATAATCTAGTCGAGTAGCTATTTTTTGGTTACTACTATATATATACTTTGGTAGAAAATAAGAAAAGAATTGTTTTTAAAAAAGCTTGCTATATCTACAAAATCCTCTATTAGATTTTAGAGAAGCTTCCTAGAGTTGTCTTTTTGTATTTGCACTTGGCTAATTCAATTTACTTCGGGGTCTAGATTGGTATTGAAGTCTCTTGCTATGATGCTTAGAGCATTGTTGCTTGTTATAGGTGTATAGCTACAGTATTAAAGAATTGGTATCTATTCCCTTGATTAGAAGGAGTATATACATTTGTAACTATATATTTACAAAGTTTAAATATGAACTTAGCCAAAATTACTTAATCATTATGTAAAATTTCTTTTTTAGTAAACTTAATATTTGGCTTTTCTGCCAAGATTGCTGTCTTGGAGGTCCAAATTGTTTTATAATCCCATTGTTGTGAAAGAAACTTTCTTGTTGAGGTGTTACTTAAGTTTGTTTCCTGTAACAATATTAGATCTATTTTGTATGCTTTTAGTAACATTAAAGTCTTTTGGGCCTTTGCTTTGTCATTAAGACTCTTAACATTTAGTGTGACAATTTTGATCATAGTTAGTGTAATTATATAAGGAGCCACATATGTGGTTGTTTTTTGATTAATTATGTATATAGAGGCTTTATATATTGCACCTTCTGATTTTACTCTATGGGTTTTAGCCTTTATAACAAGATCACCTCTTCTGCTTTTATTTTTGTTTTTTCCATTTTTTGAAGTAACTAGTGTGAATTCTGTTTTCTCTATTTTGTATCCTTTATTGTCAGATATAAAGATATTTCTTGTAACTGTATCAATTATCATATTTGCTGTTTCCAGTGCTATTTTCGGTACTGTGGCCTTTTGATTTTTGGCCTCAACTATAAAAGTTATTTCTAAAATATTATTTAAAGTGCTCTGTTCAGACAGTTCAAATATTGCTATTGGAGCCTTTTTAGTTACAGCTTGCTAAACTATTGCTTGCATCTTTTCAGTATCTTCTATAATCATGTTTGAGATATAGAAGTTCTCTGGGCTGAAGTTTATTTGTGTTTTAATTTTGTTTTCTTTCTGATCTTTAGTTTTAGCTTCTTTTTGTTGTCTGTGTTCTTTCATTTTTTGTCTGAACTCTATGGAGGCTTTTAGCTTCTCATAGTTTTTTTTTGAAATGATCTGTTTTCTCACAGTAGTAACACATCTTGGGGGCTTCTTTCTAGTTGGTTGCAACTTTATATTCTCTTATATAAGTGTATCTAGACAGCTTTTGTGCTAACTCTGGGTCATTTGTAGTTTCAAATGTGATGATCTATTGATCTGAACATACCGTATTTTCCCCAAAATAAGCTACCACCTAAAATAAGCTACCCCTCACTTTTGAGCAAAAAACCAGGAATTTTCTTTTACCTGAAAATAAACTACCTCCCGAATTTTTCAAAAATTTTTAACAGTTGTTATATATAAAAGTCAAAATTGTACTAAGTAAATATATATTTTGACTTTAATAAAGTTGTTCAGAATTAAAAAATACACATATCTTGAAAGTTTCATACAATTTAGATAACTTTTTATTAGTAACATTTTTGCATTTTAAGTTCAAACTTTATATGCAAAATGTTACTAATAAAAAGTTATCCAAAAACTGTATGAAACTTTAGGATATGTGTATTTTTAATTCTGAACAACTTTTATTAAGTTCATAACATACATTTACTTAGTACCATTTTGACTTTTATATATATCAACTACTTTTACTTAATAAAAAATAACCAAAAATCGATTTGTTCTCAAAATAAGCTACTTCGGGAATTTTTATGTAATTTTTGGCCCAAAAATGGTAGCTTATTTTGGGGAAAATACAGTACTGATGTACCTTTGAACAACAATGGTTTGATTGAAACAATAGTTTCTAGATCTTGAAAAGCAGTTTTGACTAGATTACTAATATATTTCTTTTCTTTTATAGGCATGTTTCTTAGTTTTATTAACAGAAATGTATGTTTGAAGTTTACAGGGATATAGCCCAAGAATGTATACTTATCCTCTCAGATGTATATAGCTTTTGCTTGTCTTTGTTTGCAAAGACTATTTCTAAATAGGTATGTTTTCCCCTTTGCATATGCATTTTTGTAGCAATTAAGTCACTTTCTAGCTTAGTAGAAAGTGCTAAAATGATATTGTTAGATGATATATTCACAAGATTCTGAATATTAAAAATTAGTGTATTTTCATTCTTAGAGTGTATTTTTTGTCTAGGTGCAGTGTTTGAAAAGGTAGCTCTTCTCTCCTTTTAATTTTAGTAAACAGATTAGACCATTGTCTGGTTTTAGCTTAGTTGTTTCTAGTCCTGTTAGATTGTATATCTCTAGTTGAGTTACTAGATTCTACTATTTCTGTGTTATGTGGTTTATTTACATGTTGTTTTTTTGCTACTAGTGGTATATTACATAGTTCTTTTACATGTTGCTTGTTTACTTCTTTTATATTTTTGTTGCTTTCTGTTAAGATAGCCTCTGTATTTTCTTTTGTATGTTTTTCAATTGCTTTAGCTTTATTTTTTTGTATTTTTCTTGATGTTGCCTACTCGATTATTCTCTTTTATAGTGTCTTGCTGCTGTTTTGCCAAATAATTTGGACTTTTTGTACTTTTATTTGCAAGTGGTAGCATGTTAAAGACCTTTTCTTTGTTGTTGTTATTAAGTTTAGCTTATTTGTGTGTTGAGCTGCTCATAGTTAAGAGTTCAGGTTTTCTTTTCTTAGAAATAAAAGCCAGAGCCCCCTTTGATAAGTTTTGAATAAAGTGTAATAAATTTTGTATAGTAATTTTGTTATCTATATTTTTCTGGATATGAACTGAAAAGAGTTTTTTTAGTATCTATTCTCTCATTTTTAAATAAAGTAATAATATATTTTATTGAATATAAAAAATTTATTAAAGTATTAAAAATTTGGCACAAATATGCTGTGCAAAAAAAAATTCAAATTTTTAATAATTGTAAACTAGTAACCCTATTTTAGCTAACTTTACTAGTATTTTTGGTTTATATTATCTCTTAATTTGTATTGTAGGCAAATTTGCCTGCAAACTTTTTTAAAATTTTAATTTTTTTAATAAAATCTCAAATATTGATTTTAGCTATATATTTTCTAAGTAAAATATTTAATTTTAGATTTGTTTTATAAACTTTGCTAAGAAAATTT